GCCACGCCCCCAGCCCCTCACCGAGGGATTCTGGGCAGGGGTTCTACTACTGAGCCACACCCTCAGTTCCTCAATGGGGGATTCTAGGCAGGGCTCTACCACCAAGCCACACCCCCAGCCCCTCACTGGGGGATTCTAGGTAAGAGCTCATATCATTGAGCAATACTCATAGCCCTGTGCTAGCTCCCTTAATTTCATGACTTTATCTAGTGGCTCTATCATTACCCCATGTTAAGTCTTTTCCTTTTGAGATCATGTCTTGTGTATTCCATGATGCACCCGAAGAGAGGATAATCTTGAACTTCTGATTTTCTTGTCTCTACCTCCCTAGTGCTGAGATTCTAGTTATGCATTGGCATACCCACTTTTATCCGGAGTTGGGGGCTAGAACCTAAGGCTCCAAGCATGCTAGGCAAGCACTCTACAAACCCAGCTACTTTCTCAACCTTACCCACAGAAAACTGTGTAAAAACACAGGAAATTGAGCCTTGGGAAGACATCAGTAGCTTGCACAGGATCACAGAGTTAGAAAGCACTCCAGCTGGGTTTCCATCTTAGGTCTCGAAATCTTAGTTAGGGAAAAAGTTGTCACCAATCTTGCAGTAGTGAGCACCCCCAAAGCCAGACTGTGCTCTCTGTAGCCCCTCAACACCCTCACAAGCTTTTTTATTCTGTAAAAATTTGGGCCGAGGCATCTCCTGGCTGTCAGTAACAGTCTCTCCCCTCGCTCCATAGGTAGATGCTTATTTTAGCGACTTTGAAGAGCCAGCTTTTGGTCAGATTGGAGTTTCTAACTATCATTCCTCACAGAAAGAATCGAGGGCTCCCTAGAGAAACAGCTGTCCCAGGGCTGGGGCTGGGGCTGAGACTGGGGGGTTGGGAAGGAACAAGCCAGTCTGGGTCAGCTCAAAGGCCACCCAGCACTCAGCCTGAAATGGCTCCCTGTATCCAAAGACAAGGCAATTTTTCCTTTTATTTCCTTTCATTAAAAAACATTTTATGTGTTTTTTCTAGGTATGTATGTCTGTGTTCCATGTACATGTAGTGCCCTTGGGGGCCAGAAAAAGAGTTTTGGATTCACCCAGCCTGAAGTAACAGATGCTTGTGAGCTACCATGTGGAGCACAGTGCACATCTGTAATCTCAGCACTAGGTAGACACAAGATTAGAAGTTCGAGATTGTCCTCTACCTCTGGAAGAGCAGCCAGTGCTGGGTCTCTGCCGACTTTCCACTACCCTCCCAACACCCCCCTCCTCTACATTTTCACTATGTAGCTCTGGCTGGCTTGGAACAGTGTAGGCCAGGTTAGCCTTAGACTGAGATCTGCCTGCCTCTGCTTCCTACATCTTGGGATTCAAGGAGTGTGCCACCATATCTGGCTCAAAGATGGGACAATCTAAGCATCCAAACAAGCAAACAAATAAACAAACCCTGCAAATCAAAACATAAAATCATTGTGACTCGAAGAGTGAGAAGAAAATGGATTGGAGAAAAGGAGGGGTGGGAGAAATAACAGAGGAAAGGACCTGTGATACAGATGAAGAGAGGGGACCCTGGGAGTGTCCCAGGCAGGGAGGCAGCTAAGGGACATCTCAAAAAGACACTTAGGGGGTGGCTGAAGGGTCTATGCACTTCAAGAGGCAAGAGAAGGCTCTTGGGTTGCAAGCCAGACCAAGGGGAGCAGAGATGGGTGTGGAGGGTAGAAGGCCACTTCAAGGATCGAGTCTTCAAATATGAAGGCTGGGTAGGGACTGGGAGAACTGGGGGCAGGGTAGGGGAGCTATGGGAGACGGGGTGGGGTGAGGTGGGGGGACTAAAGAGAGGCTGGGGAGACCTGAGGAGGTTGGGGAAAATCACAGAGATTTGAGGAGGGCTAGGGGTGGTCCTAGAGGAAGAGTGTGGGAATTGGGAACGATTGGGAAGGAGATGGCACAGATTTGTTACAGAGGGGAGCGAAGGTGAGAGGTGGGATTTGGGGAGCACTCACCAGGGATCTGGGGAGCGCAGAGCAAGCGGCCTGAGCCCTGTCCTGTCTGCAGTGGAGTGAGACGGGTGGGGCCGCGCGGGAGGAGCGGCGAACAGGGCGGGCCCAGGCCCCCCTGTCCCAGCCCGCGCCAGCCTCGGGCGCCCCCTGGCGGGAAGTGTGAAAACGCACACAGGTTCGAGCGTGCAGTCCTTAGTTCAACGTGAGCCTCATCCTCCAGCTTTGGCTCCCTCTCTTAGCAAACAAATTGACAGAGGCTGCAGCAAGCCTACCAATAATTTATCTGATCATAGCGGTGCATGCAAGTTTGAAGCCAGCCTGGACCACTTGGCAGGATTCTGTCTCAAAAATAACTGTAACAACAGCAATTTTAAAATCTAAGAGCAGGGGCTGAAGAGTTAGATGGTCAGTGCTTAAGAGTCCTGAATGCTCTTCCAGAAGACTTGGATTCAATTCCCAGCACCCACATGGCAGCTCACGACTGTCTGTAACTCCAAGATCTGACACCTTCACACACATACACATGTTAGAAGCAGGCAAAACACCAACGCATACAAATGAAAGTAAATTATTAAAATGTAAGTGCATGAGCCCAGTGTGGTGGCACATGCCTTTAATCCCAGCACTTGGGAGGCAGAGACAGGTGGATTTCTGAGTTCGAGGCCAGCCTGGTCTACAGAGTGAGTTCCAGGACAGCCAGGGCTATACAGAGAAACTCGAAAAAACCAAACCAAACCAAAACAAAAAACAAAAAAAGAAAGAGAGAGAGAGAGAGAGAGAGAGACGACTTCCGTAGGCTCATAGGGACTGGCTTTATTAGGAGGTGTGTTTTTGTTGGAGTAGGTATAGCCTTGTTGCAGGAAGTGTGCAGGGGGTGTCAGGGGGGACATGGAGGTGTCAAATGATCAAGCCAGGCCCAGTCTCTCTCTTCTTACTGCCTGCCAATCTGGATGTAGAAACTTTTAGTTAATTCTCCAGCACCATGTCTGCCATGTGCAACCTCCATGTTTCTTGCCATGATGATGTAAGCCATGCCCAGATTAAATACTTTCCTTTATAAGAGTTGCTGTGGTCATAGCAATAGAAACCCTAACTATGACACATGCCTTATTTTGGCTTTCTTTTTTTTTTTTTTATAGCCCTGGCTGTCCTGGAACTCACTCTGTAGACAAGGCTGGCCTCGAACTCAGAAATCCTCCTGCCTCTGCCTCCCAAGTGTTGGGATTAAAGGTGTACGCCACCACCACCCGGCTTTATTTTGGCTTTCTAAAATAGACAGTCCCACTAAGTAGCCCAAATTACCCTCATGATCCTCCTGCCTCAGCCTCCCACATGCTGGTGTTACAGGTGTATGCTACCACACCTAGCCAGCTAATGGTTGCTTTTCTGAAAACGTTGCCTGCCCACAGTGACCACTCTCCAGAGGGCTGGGATTACAGGTGTGTACCACCACGCCCAGTTTACGGGATGCTGGAGCTAAAAACTCATGGCTTCCTGCATACTAGTCAAGAGTTTGTTTTTCTCAATTTTTATGCATTTATTTACATTTTAAAATTTATTTTTATGTGTATGGATGTGTGGTGGTTTGAATAGGTTTGGGCCCTGGAGATTCAATGTGTTTCAATGCTTGGCCTTAGGGAGAGGCACTATTAGGAAGTATGGTCTTATTGGAGGAAGTGTGTCACTGTGTAGGTGGGCTTCGAGGTCTCCTATGTTCAGGCTCTACCCAGTGCAGAAGACAGTCTTCTCCTGGCTGCCTTCCGACCAAAACAGAATTCTCAGCTCCTCCAGCACCATGCCTGTCTGTGTGCTGCCATGTCTCCTGCCATGATAATAGACTAAACCTCTGAAACTGTAAGCCAGCCCCTCAACCCCAATGTTTTCTAAGAATTGCCTTGGTCATGGTGCCTCTTTCACAGCAATAAAACCCTAAGACAGGTGTTTGGTCTGCATACTACATACACCCCATGTGCATGCAGTGCTCTCAGAGACCACAAGAGGGCATCGGATGCACGGGATGAGTTACAAATGGTTATGAGCCATCATGTGGGTGCTAAGAATCAAACCCAGGTAGTTGGCAAGAGCAGCCAGTGCTTTCAAATGCTGAGCCATCTCTTCAGTCTCTATTTGTTTGTACTTTAAGACAGAGTCTTGTATAGCCCATGCTGGCCTTGATCTTGTATAGCCCAGGCTGGCCTTGATCTCCCCAAGTAGTTGAAAAGAATCTTGAACTGATTCTCTTGCTTCCACCTCCTGAGTGCTGGGACTATATGCACATACGCCACACCCCTAAGTGTCTCTACGCTTTCTGTGTCTCTGTGCCCACCCATGTAAATTTATGTGTACCACATGTGTTCACCAACCCAAAGGAGACCAGAAGAGGGTGTCATATCCCTGGAACTAGAGTTATGAGCAGCCGTGTGGGTGCTAGGAACCAAACCTGGTCCTCTGCAAGAGCAGTAAGCGCTCTTAGCCACTAAGCCATCTCTGCAGCCCCATAAATGTCTTTGGACAGAAAATTATCTAAAACAAAGTACTGCGTGAATGGTTGATAATATTGACTCTAGATTGCCAGGGTCCCAATCCCAATCCCACATTCCCTGGACCAATGGTTTGGAGCATTTTCAAAGTACAAATACTGAGAACTGACAGTACTGGTTTCAGAGGCAGGGAATTCCAAACCACCTTCTAATTAAAAAAACAAACAAAAACCCTTTGTGTGTGGGCACATGTGCCACTGCATGTATGTAGTGGTGGTTGGAGAATAACTTGAGGGCATGGCTTTTTTCCTTCTCATGTAAGTCCTAGGGATCAGATTAGGGTCATGGAAAATGTCACTGCATCTACTGAGCCATCTCACCAGCCCTGCAGCGCTTAGAATATGGACGTTCATGCAACATACGACATTCCTCTCTATTGGCTTTGTTCCAACCCACCAACACTATTCCCAAAATAACACACCCAAAACCAACAGGAGCCAGAGGGGGCCTGAGTACAGTTTTAAAAAAAAGGATCAGCTTTTAATTTACAAGAGTTCTAGATGTACAGAATTCTCCCTTAAAAAAATCGTTATACACAATAAATACAGTACAAAAAAGAAATCTTTATCTTACAGTACTAGTTTTGTCTCCGAGATTTCAAAACGTGGCGGGGGTGGGCTGGAGGCAAGAAGAATACAGGGAAGACTGCTTGGGAGAAGGAAGGAAGACCCCGTGTCTTGTTCCTCTGGAGGGATGGGGGTGGTGGGACTCTCTCTCTCTCTCTCTCTCTCTCTTGTGTACACGCACACACACAGGATGACTCAGGCGAGTGCATGTATGGATGGGATGCAGGTACTTTAGGACACTGGCTTGAGTCCTTTTAAGAGTCGAGCCTCTCTGAAGTTCTCTCCCCGCTCTGAGTGCCCCGACTGTGATCCATGAAGCCAATCAGACAAGACCTTGTATTCAGATGTTACCAGTGCATCAACCTAGTAGCCCAGTCCTGGGCAACACTCACGTATCCCCTGTCCTGCTCTGTACCAGGGGGACATAGTACCTTATAGCCCACCTTCCCCTAGAAAACCCACGCCCCATCCCAAATCTCTAGCCAACGTGGAAGCAGGAAGGTGGGGGAGGCCTTTGTGACTCAAATAACTTAGGCAAGAATTGTCAGGGGAACTGGGTTAGTGCCCCCTAGAGGTGGAGGTTGGCTGTCAGGCTGCTCTCCTGGAAGTGGGGTTGGGGACACCCGATGAGGGCTGCAGGAGCAGCCCAGTGTTATCTGTTCAACGTCCTGGCACCGAGGCCACCATTGTGACTAGAGGGTGGGAAGGCATCAGGCCTGTGCAGAGGCGCTGGGGATGTGGGGGTGCCAGGCGTGGGTCCTGTATGGGGGTACGGGCCTGTGGGTGTCCGGCCGGGGGCCTGCTGCAAGTTAAGGATGCTGTCGATGGCGCTCTGCAAATGCTCAGTAAGTGTATCATCCTGCGGGCTGTCACTAGAGAAGCTGGCCTGGTCCACGTCCGGGGACTCGGACTTCCGTCGTTTGGCTGGGGGTAGCACGGGTGCTTCCCAACTGGGTTCAGTGGGGCCCTGGATGGTAGCAGAGGCTGGGGTCTCTGGGGGTGGTGGGCCGCCCTTCAGAACCCGCTGATACAGTTCGTCCTCCACCGCGGCCAGCTCCCGGATCAGCCCACTGGTGGCTTCGTCTACTTTGGCGGGCAGTGGGGTGGGGCTGCCCGCAACCCGCGGCCGTCCCTGTGCACCCTCAGCAGCACTAGGATCGCCCAGGTTTTCTCGATAGGTCTTGCGCAGTGGTAGACGTGGGCAGGACGCAGGCACCGTGGGTTTGCGTACTGCAGGTGGGGGATGGTCCAGAGTGCCATTCATCTGCGCCTGCGTGGCAGGTGGGAGTGGGGGCGGAGCTGGGTGTGGCGGAGGCTCCGCCCCCTTTGCAGGGGTTGGAGCAGGAAAGGGCTGGTGCACAGGATCCAGTGCAGTGTTGTGCACCACCTTGCTGAGCCCTGCCTCCTGCTTGATCTTGAGTTTGAGGCCAATGCGGCTCCGGGCCTCATAGGTCTTGATGGGTGGCCGGTTACGAGAGGGCATGGGGCCGTCCTCATCTGCGTCCAGGGATGAGGCGACAGAGGATGAGGATGAGGACGTTGATGACAAAGATGATGACGCCCGGGCCCAGGTCACTGACGGGGAGCCGCCAGCCCCACCGTGCCGGATCACTAGTTTGGTGGGCAGATGAGGAGGGGGTTGGGCAGATGTTCCAGATGTGGAGGACGAAGATGATGGGCCATGGCTGGGGAGCCGGTGACCCTCGGAAGACACTGGAACAGGGAAACCAAGGGAGCGGGAGGAAGACACGTACTCATCTGCAGAGTTGGGACAAAGAAAACCCATGGGGTGGTTAGCTAAGATGCCTAAGGTACTTGTACACAGAGCATCTTATCTTCTGGTCCAGGGTGAGTCTAGACCAATGGTTCTCAACCTGTGACCTGCAATCCCTTTGGGGATTGAACAACTCTTTCATAGGGGTTGTACATCAAATATCATGCATATCAGATATTTACATTACAATGCACAACAGTAGCAAAATGACAGCTATGAAGTAGCAAGGAAAATA